GGGCGGGGTCCCATCGTTTGGGCAGCTGGAAGTAGAGAAACGTGTCAGAGTCTCATGGGAGCAGTCAAACCCTTTGCGATTATGATTTGTGACCATGTTGTGGCTTACCGACACGCTGAGAAGCCATCAGACGCGGCACCTGCGAGGATGTCGGTCTCATACCGAAGGACTGTGGCCTGGGAACTGAAGGTCGCATGGCGTTGGACATGTTCTGGAAATCTGTGGAATGAAGGCAATGGTTTCATTACCACCCAGAACATGCAAACAGCAGACAAGCCAATAAACCAAGATGCCTGTGTCATATAACCAGAAAATAATCTTCTGAACCAATAGTGCTACACAGTAGGGTATACTTACGCTGGGGCCTGACGTTCTGGGTGGCCCAGCGAGGGCTTGGCCTCAGTTGTGCAATCTGGCCAGTGGGGTAGTACGCAGCTCTGTTCTGGGTCTGTGGGAGAAAGTCTTGTTACCAGCCGCAATTTAAGTCTGACAAAAACTTAAGTCTTTACACAACTTAGAGCAAAGACAAACCTGTGGAATGGCAGTCATGAAGTACCCAGAAGGTGGTGCGGGCTGGTAGGGGTTGATGACTGGGTTGGGCACAGTCCTGACACTGGCCAGCCTCTGCATGTACTGGTTAGTGAGATGGGCTTGACGCTCCTCCTTCCTCTGGGCCAGGGCCACATACAGCGGCTTGGTAGCAACGATACGGCCGTTCATCTCAGTTACAGCTTTGGTGGCCTCTTCAGGTGAGGAGAAGCACACAAACCCATAGCCCTTGCTGCGACCTCCTTCCATCATGACCTGGGTAAGACAAATACTGGGTTCAAACACTTTGGTTTATGACATCCAACATAACAGCTTTGTGTTAATGCTTTTGTCCAAGGGACAAATTCTCCTAGTGAACAGGCCATGAAGGGATATGTTCTAGATGTTCTCACCTTAGCGCTGGTGATGGTCCCAAAAGGGGAAAACTCCTTTCGCAGACGTTCATCGTCAATCCCATCTTCAAGATTTTTCACATACAAGTTGACACCCTGGACAAACATACAGTTCATTAGTGCTCTCACTTCACGTCACACCTTGCTAAACACATGCAACAGCAACTGTGTCTTTGGACACAAACCTGGTATCGAGTCATCCTGTCCTGCTTCATCTGCTC